GATGTCGATGGGTGAGAAGAAGTAGCACAGTTGTCAGCATACACATCACACTAGACAGTCATTCAACACTGACGACTTGTGACACAGATGTGTGAATACACAAAACCTAGTAACAACAAAATGCTATTTCTGTTCTCCAAAGTAGTTATTAGATCGTCAATCAAGAAAAGCAACAACGTAATTCACTCATGTTTATTTCATTTCAATTCAATATCAAAAATACACAAATGTGTTTACTGTAACCAGTTTAATAAAACAGACGAACAAACAGTCTTCAGAACTCGTCATGATACCTGAAAACAAAATGAGAGAAGGATACACGATGATTCAGTACAAGTAAAATGTATACTAGACTATGATTAAGTTCAATTGAATTACATTGACAAACTAGTCGAACTGAGTAGCATTCATCTTGTCAAGTGAAATTAGTGTTTGAAAGTTCGAAGTATCACATTTTCACTTGATCGGAAACTGGACGTTTGTGTGTGTGTGTGTGTGTCTGTGTGTGTAATAACAGTTCAGTTCGTCCGTGGTCCAACCAAATGCGACGATACGTAAATACTTAAGATTCGTAAATTCCTGTTGACTATTAGGAAGATGATAATCGGACGACATATCGTGTCCTTGAAATGGGTTGATGGTTAACTGATGACTGTATATTAGTAGGATCAGTTCAACAAAGATTACTTACTGTATTCAGTGAAGTGCCTCTACATTCAATGAAGGAAATCGTCAAAAATTTCATCACCATTGTCAGGTTGTTGTTCGTGACCTTCATTTGCATTGATATTAATATTCATAATAATATTATGATCATTTTCATCAACACTATCATTTACTATCGCATACTCCATTTTCTTAACTCCTTGCTTGTCGAATTTCTCATTTTCGTCATCATCATAATCGCCTCTGTTTTCTTCTGTCGTTAATTGTGTGAATTGCAGTTTGCTTTCATCTTGTCCAACTGCGTCTTTGATGTCATTGTTAACACCAGGTAAAAGCGATGAACCTAAATTTAGAGAAAGATAAACGACTGGTCAATTTACAGTGATACTACGAATAGAGATTCACGAGACCCAATAAAACAAGACAAACTAACAATTGATGTTCCATTCCAAATACTGTAACATTGATACTCATAACTCACTGCCAATATTCAATAAACAGTATTCTCCTATTCTAAGTAGCTGTTCAACCACATTGACTAGATCATTCACAATCAAACCATGTTATTCTCACGTCAAATTAATTACTCAGCTTAATTTCACGGAATCACATTCAACAAGCACAAATGTCACTTACCCGAACAAATCACTTTCCTTACAATAAGAGTCTCACATAATATAATGTATATCAAAGAAATATTTGGAACGTACGTGTATATGCGGGAATGAATGTGACGAGCATTGTGAGGCATAAGATGTTGCACACCGTTGATAAACGCATTTTGTCTGTCAAATGAAGTGAACTTTGAATGGAGTGGATAGTTGATCACATAAGAAACACCTCATGTTTATATACTGATACGGACCTATGAGATCTAATCAAATTTGTGAAATTAATTAATGGATGAACTCATCCGATTGGTGTTCTCTTCGTCTGGTTCACTCAATAATTTGGTAGTAAAAGTGCACATAAACTGGTCATAATGGAATGTGGTTATTCATATATTCTACTGTGCATCAATAACTACAATAACAACATCAACAAGTTCACGATGTGGGCGTAATCTGCATCAAGCTCACTCACTGCATTGATTCACCAAGTTCAGTTCAATGGTAAAATTAGTAGTGAATTAGTTAGATTAGACAATCACGCTAACATATCTCACCTTGATAATATGACCAGAGAAATGTCAGCATCATTCTCTCTTTCAACTGAATGCTGAATAACACCTTTATATTTTGGTATTTCAGCATAATTATTATCAGTGGTCTTATGAGTAGAATTCTCTCTGATTTTGATGGACTCAACTAATTAGTAGTTTGTTGATCACGTTGCAACCAAATGATATGATGTGATTATCTCAGTGTTTCCATCAATTCTCTCACTTGTACTTGATAGATTAACAATAGTTAAAGATAGCAAATTCATATTGGTTATGTGTTGAGGAGATGGTATCTCGATGAGTCGAATTCGAATTCACAAATTTCTGCGATCGCCTCTCTACATATGCTTATGTGTGATATTGGCAAACGAGATGTTAACGTAGAGCAGTCAACTGTGCTTATTGAACAGCTGTCCATTGTATTCCGTGTTTTTCTTCAGATGTCGATGTCTTCATAATCCAGTCGACCACCAGAAGAAAGGGGAAGGGAGAGAGTAAACAGCCTTGTCTGACTCCGATCCTTACTGGGAATGCATCTGTCAGCTGTCCTCCATGCACTACTTTGCACTGTAGTCCGTCGTATGAGTTCTGGATTATATTGACAATCTTCTCAGGAACTCCGTAGTGTCGAAGAACTTTCCATAATGTCCTCCTATCTACACTGTTGAATGCCTTTTCATAATCAATGATGTTGATGTATAGTGATGAGTTCCACTCAACTGATTGTTCGACGATAATCCGTAGTGTTGCAATTTGGTCTGTGCACGACCGATCCTTACGGAATCCAGCTTGTTGATCTCGAAGTTGGGCGTCTACTGCATCCTTCATCCGGTTCAGCAACACTCTGTTGAAGACTTTCCCTGGTATTGACAGTAGTGTAATCCCTCAGTAGTTTTCACATTTGCTCAGATCTCCTTTCTTTGGAATCTTGACGAGGTGTCCTTCTTTCCAGTCCATCGGCACTTGTTCCTCCTCCCAAATCTTTTTGAATAGAAGGTGAAGCATGTTTGTAGTTACTTCGACTTCAGTGCTTCAGCTGGTATGTTGTCGTGTCCTGCTGCTTTCCCGTTCTTGATTTGTCTGACGGCCATTCTAATTTCTTCCGTCGTTGGTGGATTGACATCTATAGGAAGATCTATGTGTGCTGCTTCGATGTCCGGTGGATTCATTGGAGTTCCTCGAAGTATTCTACCCATCGGTTACCCTGTTGTTGAATTTCGATGATTGGCTTGCCTTCTTTGTCTTTGACCGGTCTCTCTGGTTTACTGTATTTCCCTGCTAGTTTCTTCGTTGTATTGTGAAGCTGTTTCATATTTCCTTCTCTAGCAGCTTTTTCTGCCGTCGTTGCTAGTTCTTCCACGTATTTCTTCTTGTCGGCTCTAATGCTCCTCTTCACTTGTTTGTTTGCTTCTATGTATTCAGCTAGTGCTTGGACTTTCTCTGCTCGTGTTCGGTTGTTGTTTATTGCTGCCTTCTTGTTCTTCCTTTCTTTGATCTTGTCCAGTGTTTCTGTAGAGATCCATTCCTTATGATGGTATTTCTTTAGACCCAGAACCTCTTGACACGTTGAAGTTAATGCTTCTTTGATGCCTTTCCAGTTGTCCTCCATGCTAGTTTCTTCTTCTTTCAGTAGATCTTGTAAGGCTTGGAACCTGTTGTTGAGAGCTATCTTGAATTCATTGAGTTTGTCAGTATCTCGAAGGAAGGCTGTATTGAACCTTTGTAGTGCTGTTTGTCCACTTGTCCAGTTATTCTTTAGCTTCAGTTTTAAATTGGCCACAACTAGGTGGTGATCTGAAGCTATGTCAGCTCTTTTTCTGGTTCTCACATCTTCCATTGTCCTTCGGAACTTTTTATTGATGCAGATATGATCTATCTGGTTCTTTGTGGTGTGGTCCGGTGAGATCTATGTAGCTCTGTGTATACGTTTGTGTGGAAATATTGTGCCTCCTATGACCAATTTGTTGAATGCACATAGATTTGCAAATCTTTCTCCATTTTTGTTTCTTCTTCCCAGTCCATGTCGTCCCATAATATCTTCATATCCAGTGTTGTCTATTCCGACTTTGGCATTTAGATCTCCCATCAGAATAGTTAGGTTCTTTCTTGAGCATTTCTCAATGATTGACTGCAGCCGCTCGTAGAACTGATCTTTAATGTCGTCGTTGCTATCATTGGTGGGTGCATAACATTGGATAATATTCATTGTGATCCCCTCCTTCTTTGTTTTGAATGATGCTTTGATGATTCTGGATCCGTGAGATTCCCATCCTACAAGTGCATTTCGTGCTACTTTGGACAGCATAAGAGCGACTCCCTGAGTGTGTGGAGCATTGTCCTCTTCGTGACCGGAGTATAGCAGCATCTCTCCCGTAGCTAGCTTTTTCAGTCCAGCTTGGGTCCAGTGGGTTTCGCTAAGTTGTACCTCCTCATTTCCATTGCTATTTGACTGGTCTTTCCGGTTTTCCACATTGTTCGAAAGTTCCATGTACCTATAAAAATTTTTGCTCTCGTTGTTAGAAGGGGCATCGGACTCGTGGCTTCCGAAGGAACTCAAAGACCTTCTAACTCCCGGGGCAGAGTTAAAATGGTTCGGGTTATTTTTTCTGGTCAGCATTTTTTAGCGAGTTAGTTATCTACGGGATGGGGACGCTAACCCCATGCCCAATCCTACTCCTTTACCCGGGCTTGGGACCGGCAGTACCCCAATAACAGCTACAGGCGGAGTTTTTCGGGAACATGCTCAATTGTAAATATGCTCCAGAACTCTAAGAAAACGGAAGTGGACACTCAGGCGTTGCAGCACATTTTCTTCACTCACAATTAATTTTCGATGTGCTCATCAATATTGGACACATTCACATGGTTTCGAGCATTAGCTTTCATTCTTCGAATGACTGCATGAACTGTGTGTGGCTTCGGCAAGACGAGTGAGTAAAGGTTATAACGAACCACCATGAGATCAGCAAACATGATGTAGTCATTTGTGATGAACAGCTATTGGTATCGTTGATTATTCCGTTTTATTTGATTGGATGTTACACATGAGGGTCAACCATGCCTTGTGAATTTCGCTCTTTGTTTCTAAGATAAGATCACGGTGAGTGTTATTAGCCATTCGAGCAGTTGTCACTTGAACAGTTCGCACTACATTAGGCTGCATGCTGCTTACATCTTCTTCAAATGATTTAGAACAAATGGCAGTATCGTCGTTTTCAAGTTTGTGGTTGTTCATTAGACGCGATAATGCATCAGCATGACCTAATGCAAAGATGAATGTGTACTCGATAGTCATGCCTGAAGTCGACGGCTTTATATTTTTTCGTTGGACTTGGTTTCCAGTATATAATGCTATAACATTCTCATATTCAATAATTGATAAAACGCGTTTACGTTCAGCGAATAAATTGACTTTTCTAACATGCAGCATTTTGCCAAACACTTCAACTATGCGGATAGTTCCAATACTTCTTTTTCAACCTGAATATATGTGCGTCCCACAGAAATAAATGTTCTGGAAGCAGGCACAATAGCTCTCTCTTTGCCATTCGAGAACTTATGGTTCATAACTGCACTGATGTCATGATCAGAAGCATCTAAAGCAATAACAACTTCCAATGAGGAATCAAAATATGTAAGTAGTAAAAGCGAGGATAATGATGAAATTACCTGGTCGAAAGATTTGTGAAGCTCGGTGGACCAGTACATTTGCACTGAACAGGGTGATAAATGTTTCGCCTGTTCTTGGAGCGATGGAGTTTGGCCACAATTGTCTTTTGTAAATGATAATGCTTAAATCGTTTCACCTGAATTATATGGAATAAGTATATTTAGGAAAATAAGAACGAACAGCATTTAGAGATGGTGAATACTTATCTCATAAAGAGTGATCCCACATTCATTTTAAAAGACGTCACAAAGAATGAGGACAGTCAATTTTCGTATTTTAGATGCTTTACTGAAAATGTCTCCAGAAAAATTACATATGTGGGCGTAATCTACATCAAGCTCACTCACTGCATTGATTCACCAAGTTCAGTTCAATGGTAAAATTAGTAGTGAATTAGTTAGATTAGACAATCACGCTAACATATCTCACCTTGATAATATGACCAGAGAAATGTCAGCATCATTCTCTCTTTCAACTGAATGCTGAATAACACCTTTATATTTTGGTATTTCAGCATAATTATTATCAGTGGTCTTATGAGTAGAATTCTCTCTGATTTTGATGGACTCAACTAATTAGTAGTTTGTTGATCACGTTGCAACCAAATGATATGATGTGATTATCTCAGTGTTTCCATCAATTCTCTCACTTGTACTTGATAGATTAACAATAGTTAAAGATAGCAAATTCATATTGGTTATGTGTTGAGGAGATGGTATCTCGATGAGTCGAATTCGAATTCACAAATTTCTGCGATCGCCTCTCTACATATGCTTATGTGTGATATTGGCAAACGAGATGTTAACGTAGAGCAGTCAACTGTGCTTATTGAACAGCTGTCCATTGTATTCCGTGTTTTCCTTCAGATGTCGAGGTCTTCATAATACAGTTGACCACCAGAAGAAAGAGGAAGGATGTTGTACTAGAGTGGTTTCATCTGAGCAATCCTGTTATTCACGTTAACGATAATTTCGTATGCATTGGTTCTGTATGAACGATAAGCGTTATGTGTCTCTTGTGATCTAGTGACAGATGGTCTTGTGGATTACTCCTTTTGAGAGTTTGAAATCGTCTACGGTCATGACGATTGCTAATGTTATATGTCAGACATCGAAGTTGTCGGGCAAGAATGGCATTGGTTCAAATGAGGGTATTGTAAGATTCTTGATCACAAATAGTTTGGGATTCTGTCCGGTCATGATGAATATAAAGTATATCAACGAACGAATACATTTCCGAAAATAAAGAAATAGTTGCCATCGTGACAAGCGCGACGCAATAACCCTGACCTTCACTAATTAGAGGTTCCTTCGTATGTATGAGCTCTAGTTATAGGTAAATGAAGATCCAGTTTCCCTAACACAGTAAACAGAGATATATTAAGCGATATGCTCACTCTGTATTAGAGCAACGGTAACTGCATTTTCCAGTGTTTTCAAAAATTCTAAAGGCACAAGGGTATTTGGTTTGTCACACGTAAAGGCTACAACTCCGCCTGAAGCTTCTCTTTAGCCACAGACGGTCCCAAGCCATGATAAAGGAAGACGGTTGAGCATGGAGTTAGTGACCCCATGCCGCTAAAAGAACGCTAATCAGGAAAATTAGTCTAAACCAGTTAAACTCTACCTTGTGAGTTAGAAGGTCTTCATTTAGGAGAGTTATGACGCCTCGTGGTGGAAGCCGAGTTCCTTCGGAATTACGGAGGCTGGTGCCCTTTTCTAAAAACCAGAGCAACCATTAATTTAGGTACATGGAATGCTCGTGCAATGAGAAAGACCGGGAGAGTCTTCCGAATTGCTGCAGAAATGTAGAAATACCGCCTGGAGTTGTTTGGAATCAGTGAAACACATTGGACGAAAGTTGAACAACAACGACCAGGTTCATGCGAACTGCTGTTATACTCCGGCCATGAAGGAGAAATTACCCCACATGCACAAGGAGTTGCATTGATGCTATCCAAACAAGCATATTATGCACTTATAGGATGGGAATTTCACGGACCCAGGATTATCAAATCCTCCTTCAAAACAAAGAGAGAGGACATTACAATGAACGTCGTCCAATGCTATGTGCTTATCAATGACTACAATGAAGACGTTAAAGATCAATTCTACAATAGACTGCAGTCAGTCGTCGAGAACTGATCAACAAAAGAACCTGACCATTCTGATGGGAGATTTTAATGCTAAGGTTGGAATGAAGAACACCGGATATGAAGACATCATGGGACGACACGAACTGGCCGAAAGGAACGAAAGTGGCGAGATTCGCAAACCTATGTGCCTTCAATAAACTGGTCATAGGCGGAACTATATTCACACATGAACGCATTCACCAAAACCACATGAACTTCACTGGATCACACCACAGAGAACCAAATCGACCATATCTACATCAACACAAGGTTCAGGAGGACGATGGACGATGTGAGAACCAAGACAGGAGCCGATATACCATCAAATCATCACTTGCTGGTCGCCAAGATGAAATTAAAGCTTAAGAAGCACTGGATAATGGGAAGGACAAAGTCACAAAATTTTACTGCTGCTTTTCGTCGGGATACTGACAAGCTCAAGGAACGCAAGACTGTCAACATGTCATGAGGTTCTGGGCGACAAGAATCACCACCACAATGAATGGATTACTGTTGACACACTGGATATGATTTAAGAAAGGTGCTGAAACTTGGAGAACTACTACAACCATTATCTAGAGGGTACAAATATTTATAAATAATTGTCTACGCAATATACTCAACATCCATTGGCATACAACTACTTGCTATTTCTAGTGGTCATATATTCCCTGAACTGGATAGTTTGATGGGGAAGCTCTAATTGCCATCATAAAAACAAGCATTAACCTAAATCCCGATCTATACATATGCATATAAACACCTAATAATATCGATTTGGATTTGATGGTTCCTTTTTTCCCTCACACATTTATTTTTTTTATTAGAATAATTTATTATTGACTGAATTCTTCTGAGAATTCCATTCACCAAATCAATGAATATATTTCTTACACCTACTCAATAAACTCTACAGATTCACAGAAGTTTTTAGTTGCTTTGCAATAGAGGAGAGAGATACGAGAAAATCATCCACTTATAATTTTCTTACAAATGGTATTCTCCTAAAATCGTTTCACATGGAAAGACAAGTTGGTTCATTTGAGGCATTTTAGATATTAGTTAAGTTTGTAAATAGTATTTGACACTGACCAACAGCATATGAGTTGCAACTGAAAACCAGGAAGTAATGGATACGTGATTCGTCCTAATTTCAGACTGGGAATCAGTGTAACCCACAAGCTGACATCAAGATGCAAACCAAAGGGTACAATAACAAACAAGATCATGTTAAAGGTCAATTATAGGACTCATCGAAAAAACTGAGGCAAATATTGTGCAGCGAATAGTGGACATCATCACGTTTTAATGTGAGTGTTTTTAGATTTTATTACACAAAGTGTTTCATACTGGGATGGATATGTGTATAAATGAACAAACCCGTTTCCTCTGTGATACACGGTTGCTGGACTGAACGATCAATTTGAAAATCATGAGGCTAAATCAACTCCAAGTGCTGAAGTAGAACATACATTATGGAATTTTTATTGTTCAAACACTGACTAACATCACACGAGATCCAAGCTCGCCATAATTGTGTTAGGCATCGGGTCGTGCTTTGTAATTATGCGATACAATTTTTTCGATTTATAGTTGTTATAAAGTAGATTCTTAGAGCGGGTGATCTAAACTATGACCTCGGGAAAACACGTACGCCGAGTGTGTTCCAGACGTCAGAGGTTCCATAGCTGTGCTCTCAGATCAAGATTCTAAAACAAGATTAACAAAGGAGCAGCAAGACACTCGAATATTAACGCTAAACAGTGCTTAACATTTTGTAGTGAAACAGAGAGAGGTATGGAAAATTATTGGATTAAATTCATACTAGCTCTTGTTGCTACAGTGAAATGTGATGCTAGCCATGCATTTCTAATGTGAAAGTATGAGTTAGCATGTTTTAGGTTATCTTAGTACAATGGGTAATCCAGAATAAAATTGGAAACACAAGTCTGAATAGTGAGTGTATCACAGACTGACTGACATGTTCTCAGTCATAAAATGTTTGGTACAAGCAAAATATTCTGCTTCAGAAAAATGGATGGATTGACGTCGTTGGTCTCACCATCATGTGTTTCACAGCTTGTTATGTTCACCTCGATGTTGATTGGTACGTGTGAATCTGTTGGAATGTTATATGTTCGGAGTGAGAGTTGAACTGAACTCGAGTCTCTAAGAAGTAGCTCGAACACAAATAACCTAACATCTTATCTGTGTAAACGTGGGTGCAAACCAAAAGATATTGCATTTCTAATGTGGGATGACATAATTTACGACCGCTCTATGGATATATGAGAAATATTTAGTAACCATTTGACAAAGCTCAATGGACAGCGACCTGATCACCTCGACAATACAACACTTTCATCCAGTAAATGTGAAAATGCATCATTCGGTGCTAAAGTGTGTATGGAGCAATCAATTGTCTTCAGACTACAACAGGTATAGAAACTGACGGTATCCGCCTTGTATTTCCTAAACGATGTAATGACGCACCACTTATACTTATTCACATATTTCACATGATATCAGATACAGACGTATACTCAAGTAACTGGAACACCTGCTACATTGTCACGCAATACAACACTGGGAAAAGAGAGAACTCTGCTTATTACCGATCGACGAA